TCTGTCTGTTCGTGTGTCTGTCTGTTCGTGTGTCTGTCTGTTCGTATGTCTGTCTGTTCGTATGTCTGTCTGTTCGTATGTCTATCTGTTTGTATGTCTATCTGTTCGTATGCCTGTCTGTCCGTATGCCTGTCTGTTCGTATGGCTATCTGTTCGTATGTCTGTCTGTTCGTATGTCTGTCTGTCCGCATGTCTGTCTGTCCGTATGCCTGTCTGTTCGTATGTCTATCTGTTCGCATGGCTATCTGTCCGTATGCCTGTCTGTCTGCATGTCTGTCCGTTCGTATGCCTGTCTGTCCGCATGTCTGTCTGTCTGTATGCCTGTCTGTCTGTCCGTATGTCTGTTTGTTCGCATGTCTGTCTGTCTGTCTGTCCGCATGTCTGTCTGTCCGCATGTCTGTCTGTCCGCATGTCTGTCTGTCCGCATGTCTGTCTGTTCGTATGTCTGTCTGTTCGCATGTCTGTTTGATTGCATGCCTGTCTGTACGTATGCCTGTCTGTACGTACGTCTGACTGTTTTCCCAAGCAGTTGCCTGCCTATCTGTTTGGGTGCTTGTCTGAATGTTCGTTTGTATATCAGCGAGCCTATTCGCCTACCTTTTAATCTACCCGACAGTCTTCATGACAGTTATAGTGAGTAGTGTTCTGTACGCGCCTGTGATAATCCGTTCGACAGTCCGCACGTTTGCCTACCATATGTCCCCGCCTCGCTCACGATGTACGTAAACAACTAATTGACATTATTACCTACCCCACCTTACACACACACACACACACACACACACACACACACACACAGAGTCAGACACACATCCACACCACAAATACACTAACTCCCTCTTTGAAATAAATATATATCAGAAATCCGCACTCAATTTTCTGTATGTACGCGTGCATACAGACGAGCCACACAGGACATATTGACACTCATAAAACATATGTGAGGACACAATAACTTAAAGGTGATGGTAGTATAGACATGTGTCTTCTATACATATCATCATCCCATAACAATGCGAGTCGTTGTCACCAGTTGCTGTTGACAGCCTGATCAGCCACTTCCCCACTCCTTTGGCGGTCAGATGCGACGGACTTCATGGTCGCCATCCTCAGTCTGTCCAGTCTGTGAACTTCTTCTTCTTGTTTCGTTATGTGAAATAGATTATCTATATCTGAAATGTCGTCTCTGGAATGAAAGTCAAGTTCTATATCCAGGTCTTTCTTGGTTTTCCTTTTCTCCTCTTCCTCTCTACTGCACGTTGTAGCATTGTCTTTCTACAAGTCCGTACCAATACATTTTCGACCTTTTCACTGTATTTAATAGAGTTTCTACCTGCCAGTGCGCTGGATAATTTTATGTCTGACCCTCGTGATGTGTGATGTGTGATGAGGTCTCTGAATGATATGCCAGGAATTTTTCGAAGAGATCGCATTTCAAATGCTCATATCTTCTAACTGAGTTCAGCTGATAAAGTCAACGTTTCACAGCCATGTGTAAATGTACTAAAAGTTAATGAAATGAGCAGTCTAAGTTTAGCTTTAAATGAAATGATTTAAGACCTCCATAAAATTTGCTGTCTGGCACCGACTGATGTTTGTATCATACACAAATATGAGATAGAAAGATAGGTATGTGCCCTGTATATATATATATATATATATATATATATATATATATATATATATCTATATATATATATATATATATATATATATATATATATATATATATACAAACGTCAAATAAAAAAACATACTTGTGCCCAGTATATATATATATATATATATATATATATATATATATATATATATATATACACACACACACACACACACACACATACAAAACGTCAGATACATATACGTGTACATATACAAACGTGAGATAACAAGACAGACATGTGCCCGTGAATATATAGAAACGGAAAATAGCAAGACAGACATGTGCCCGTGAACATATACAAACGTGAGATAGCAAGACAGACATGTGCCTGTGAACATATAGAAACGGGAAATAGCAAGACAGACATGTGCCCGTGAACATATACAAACGTGAGATAGCAAGACAGACATGTGCCTGTGAACATATACAAACGGGAAATAGCAAGACAGACATGTGCCCGTGAACATATACAAACGGGAAATAGCAAGACAGACATGTGCCCGTGAACATATACAAACGGGAAATAGCAAGACAGACATGTGCCTGTGAACATACACAAACGTGAGATAGCAAGACAGACATGTTCCCTGTGAACATATACAAACGTGAGATAGCAAGACAGACATGTGCCTGTGAACATATACAAATGTGAGATAGCAAGACAGACATGTGCCCGTGAACATATACAAACGTGAGATAGCAAGACAGACATGTGCCTGTGAACATATACAAATGTGAGATAGCAAGACAGACATGTGCCTGTGAACATATACAAAAGTGAGATAGTAAGACAGACATGTGCCTGTGAACATACACAAACGTGAGATAGCAAGACAGACATGTTCCCTGTGAACATATACAAACGTGAGATAGCAAGACAGACATGTGCCTGTGAACATATACAAACGGGAAATAGCAAGACAGACATGTGCCTGTGAACATATACAAACGGGAAATAGCAAGACAGACATGTGCCCGTGAACATATACAAACGGGAAATAGCAAGACAGACATGTGCCCGTGAACATATACCAACGTGAGATAGCAAGACAGACATGTGCCTGTGAACATATACAAACGTGAGATATCAAGACAGACATGTGCCTGTGAACATATACAAACGGGAAATAGCAAGACAGACATGTGCCTGTGAACATATACAAACGTGAGATAGCAAGACAGACATGTGCCCGTGAACATATACAAACGGGAAATAGCAAGACAGACATGTGCCCGTGAACATATACAAACGGGAAATAGCAAGACAGACATGTGCCTGTGAACATACACAAACGTGAGATAGCAAGACAGACATGTTCCCTGTGAACATATACAAACGTGAGATAGCAAGACAGACATGTTCCCTGGGAACATATACAAACGTGAGATAGCAAGACAGACATGTGCCTGTGAACATATACAAACGTGAGATAGCAAGACAGACATGTGCCTGTGAACATATACAAACGTGAGATAGCAAGACAGACATGTTCCCTGTGAACATATACAAACGTGAGATAGCAAGACAGACATGTGCCTGTGAACATATACAAATGTGAGATAGCAAGACAGACATGTGCCTGTGAACATATACAAACGGGAAATAGCAAGACAGACATGTGCCCGTGAACATATACAAACGGGAAATAGCAAGACAGACATGTGCCTGTGAACATATACAAACGTGAGATAGTAAGACAGACATGTTCCCTGTGAACATATACAAACGTGAGATAGCAAGACAGACATGTTCCCTGTGAACATATACAAACGTGAGATAGCAAGACAGACATGTGCCTGTGAACATATACAAACGTGAGATAGCAAGACAGACATGTGCCTGTGAACATATACAAACGTGAGATAGCAAGACAGACATGTGCCTGTGAACTCATACAAACGGGAAATAGCAAGGCATGATAAGGAAGGTGACGTTAGGCATGCTTTACTCCGAAGCTCTCGGGTGAGGAGCATTGTCTGGATCTTTTCTCCGGGGGATTCCGGTATTTTGGGAAATGAACAGTCGGACAGACTGGCTGGCTCTGCACAACTGAGGGAAATACTGGTGCATGATAAGGCAGACGTGGTTAGGGTCTTGTAGAAGAACGTGTGCAGTTTAGAGGAGCAGATAGATCAATAGAGTCTGGTAAGAGTGGTGCAGGGAGAAGCGACGAAGGGACCTGGCCGATACAAGACTTTCAGAGAAAATGCAAGACGGACGTATTATGATAATGCTGCTGCCACCACTGGTAATGGAACTCTACGCTGGCTGTTGAAGATGGGGACGAAGCGCTTGTGGGAATGCCCCAAGTGCTGTGATGTCGGTTCTTTTTTCAAATCAACTCAACTCATTGAAACGTGAGACAGCAAGACACACATGTGTCATGTGTATACATTATGTATCAGGTAATCGCTGTTTCAAATTCATAGCAAACAGGTCACCCAAAAGGGACATCCTTGTGTTGCCAACAGATATCACACAAAATGTCTATGACTGCCCCTTGACACAAATGGACACGGACTGCAGTATTAGCAAAACTGACATTATAGACGCATAAAAATGCAAAAGGCCGCACGTGTCAGTCGGAGGCTAGACATGAAGTTTATCTTCAATGGCAGCAGCGGTTACAGCTCATCTGTAGTTGCCCACGGAATTAATCGCGTAAGGCAACAACGGTTCTTTGGCAACAGGCCACTTGTCATTGTTTTAATCTGCAGCTCACAATACAAACCTCCTTGGACACAGTAGCAAAAGCACTACAAATAAAACACACAGCCCACAGTGAGGCACCATGCCCTCAACGGGGATCTATACCAATATTCGATGATGAACGACACAAGAAGCCTATGAAACAAGACTTAACTTTAACGGTGAAACATTCAAATGCCGTGTGTGGGTTAAAAGATTCGCGTTTGACAGCGAGATAAGACATACGCCGTGTATGAGGGAACAAAGACGGTTAGATAGACAAACACGTGTGTTGGAAACAAGACACGTTTTACAGTGAGATAGACAAACAAAATGTGAAGAGAATAAGACTCACGTTTGACGGTGATATAGACAAACACCGTGTGGAGAGAACAAGACTTAAGTTTGACGATGAGATAGACAAACACCGTGTGGAGAGAACAAGACCTAAGTTTGACGGTTAGATAGACAAACACCGTGTGGTGAGAACAAGACTTACGTTTGACGATGAGATAGACAAACACAGTGTGGCGAGAACAAGACTTACGTTTGATGATGACTTAGAAAAACATTGTGTCTGGTGGGTGGAACAAAGACTACGTTTGACGGCGAGATAGACAAACACTGTGTATAGAGAAAAAAACTTACGTTTGACTGTGAGATAGACATGGGTCCTGAGTGGAACTTTGTCTGTGATCTGACATTGGTATGTTCCTTCGTCTTCTTTCTGTACAGCTTTGATGATGAGGTTCCAATGGGAGATCTTAAATAGAAGAACACGATTCTTGTCACCATCATCACAGTTATCATAGGTATCATCATTATCAGCATCACAATTGTCAGCACCCCAAAGCTCATGCTTAGTGATAGATGTTGTAGTTATACTGAATGTATTAGGCTGTTCTAGAAATTCATAAATCAGATATCAATTCTTCGTGTCTTTTTATTCGTGTTGTCACCGAGGCCAGGTCTAGTTGTCGCTTTAAGGACCTCAGTTCCAGTGTTGTTACTGAGGCCAGGTCTAGTTGTCGCTTTAAGGACCTCAGTTCCAGTGTTGTTACTGAGGCCAGGTCTAGTTGTCAGTTTATGGACCTCAGTTCCAGTGTTGTCACTGAGGCCAGGTCTAGTTGTCGCTTTAAGGACCTCAGTTCCAGTGTTGTCACTGAGGTCAGGTCTAGTTGTCAGTTTATGGACCTCAGTTCCAGTGTTGTCACTGAGGCCAGGTCTAGTTGTCGCTTTATGGTCCTCAGTTCCAGTGTTGTCACTGAGGCCAGGTCTAGTTGTCGATTTATGGTCCTCAGTTCCAGTGTTGTCACTGAGGCCAGGTCTAGTTGTCGCTGTATGGACCTCAGTTCCAGTGTTGTCACCGAGGCCAGGTCTAGTTGTCGCTTTATCGTCCTCAGTTCCAGTGTTGTCACTGAGGCAAGGTCTAGTTGTCGCTGTATGGACCTCAGTTCCAGTGTTGTCACCGAGGCCAGGTCTAGTTGTCTCTTTAAGGACTTCAGTTCAAGTGTTGTCACTGAGGCCAGGTCTAGTTGTCGCTTAAAGGACCCCAGTTACAGTGTTGTCACTGAGGCCAGGTCTAGTTGTCGCTTTAAGGTCTACAGTTCCAGTATTGTCACTGAGGCCAGGTCTAGTTGTCGCTTTATGAACCTCTGTTCCAGTGTTGTCACTGAGGCCAGGTCTAGTTGTCGCTTTAAGGACCTCAGTTCCAGTGTTGTTACCGAGGCCAGGTCTAGTTGTCGCTTTAAGGTCTACAGTTCCAGTTTTGTCACTGAGGGCAGGTCTAGTTGTCAGTTTATAGACCTCAGTTCCAGTGTTGTCACTGCGGCCAGGTCTAGTTGTCGCTTGAAGGACCTCAGTTCCAGTGTTGTCACTGAGGCCAGGTCTAGTTGTCAGTTTAAGGACCTCAGTTCCAGTGTTGTCACTGAGACCAAGTCTAGTTGTCGCTTTATGGTCCTCAGTTCCAGTGTTGTCAACGAGGCCAGGTCTAGTTGTCGCTTTATGGTCCTCAGTTCCAGTGTTGTCACTGAGACCAGGTCTAGTTGTCGCTTTATGGTCCTCAGTTCCAGTGTTGTCACCGAGGCCAGGTCTAGTTTTCGCTTTATGGACCTCAGTTCCAGTGTTGTCACCGAGGCTAGGTATAGTTGTCGCTGTATGGACCTCAGTTCCAGTGTTGTCACTGAGGCCAGATCTAGTTGTCTCTTTAAGGACTTCAGTTCAAGTGTTGTCACTGAGGCCAGGTCTAGTTATCGCTTAAAGGACCTCAGTTACAGTGTTGTCACTTAGGCCGGGTCTAGTTGTCGCTTTAAGGTCTACAGTTCCAGTGTTGTCACTGAGGCCAGGTCTAGTTGTCGCTTTATGAACCATTGTTCCAGTGTAGTCACTGAAGCCAGGTCTAAATGTCTCTTTAAGGACCTCAGTTCCAGTGTTGTCACCGAGGCCAGGTCTAGTTGTCGCTTTAAGGACCGCAGTTCCAGTGTTGTCATTGAGGCCAGGTCTAGTTGTCGCTTTAAGGTCTACAGTTCCAGTGTTGTCACTGAGGTCAGGTCTAGTTGTCGCTTTAAGGTCTACAGTTCCAGTGTTGTCACTGAGGTCAGGTCTAGTTGTCAGTTTATAGACCTCAGTTCCAGTGTTGTCACTGAGGCCAGGTCTAGTCGCGTTAAGGACCTCAGTTCCAGTGTTGTCACTGAGGTCAGGTCTAGTTGTCGCTTTAAGGACCTCAGTTCCAGTGTTGTCACCGAGGCCAGGTCTAGTTGTCGCTTTAAAGACCTCAGTTCCAGTGTTGTTGTCGAGGCCAGGTCTAGTTGTCGCTTTAAGGTCTACAGTTCCAGTGTTGTCACTGAGGCCAGGTCTAGTTGTCGCTTTAAGTACCTCAGTTCCAGTGTTGTCACTGAGGCCAGGTCTAGTTGTCCCTTTAAGGACATCAGTTCCAGTGTTGTCACTGAGGCCAGGTCTAGTTGTCGCTTTAAGTACCTCAGTTCCAGTGTTGTCACTGAGGCCAGGTCTAGTTGTCCCTTTAAGGACATCAGTTCCAGTGTTGTTACCAAGGCCAGGTCTAGTTGTCGCTTTAAGTACCTCAGTTCCAGTGTTGTCACTGAGGCCAGGTCTAGTTGTCGCTTTAAGTACCTCAGTTCCAGTGTTGTCACTGAGGCCAGGTCTAGTTGTCGCTTTAAGTACCTCAGTTCCAGTGTTGTCACTGAGGCCAGGTCCAGTTGTCGCTTTAAGTACCTCAGTTCCAGTGTTGTCACTGAGGCCAGGTCTAGTTGTCGCCTAAGTACCTCAGTTCCAGTGTTGTCACTGAGGCCAGGTCTAGTTGTCCCTTTAAGGACATCAGTTCCAGTATTGTCACTGAGGCCAGGTCTAGTTGTCGCTTTAAGTACCTCAGTTCCAGTGTTGTCACTGAGGCCAGGTCTAGTTGTCCCTTTAAGGACATCAGTTCCAGTGTTGTTACCAAGGCCAGGTCTAGTTGTCGCTTTAAGGTCTACGGTTCCAGTGTTTTCACTGAGGCCTGGTCTAGTTGTCGCTTTAAGTACCTCAGTTCCAGTGTTGTCACTGAGGCCAGGTCTAGTTGTCGCTTTAAGGTCTACATTTCCAGTGTTGTCACTGAGGCCAGGTCTAGTTGTCTCTTTAAGGACCTCAGTTCTAGTGTTTTAACTGAGGCCAGGTCTAGTTGTCGCTTTAAGGACCTCAGTTCTAGTGTTGTCACTGAGGCCAGGTCTGGTTGTCTCTTTAAGGACCTCAGTTCTAGTGTTGTCACTGAGGTCAGGTCTAGTTGTCGCTTTAAGGACCTCAGTTCTAGTGTTTTAACTGAGGCCAGGTCTAGTTGTCTCTTTAAGGACCTCAGTTCTAGTGTTGTCACTGAGGCCAGGTCTGGTTGTCGCTTTAAGGACCTCAGTTCCAGTGTTGCTACTTAGTTTGTAAAAGACTTGTCTCAGCATGGACGGGTCTTGCTTATCACACTCACTATCGCCCCATGGGCTGTGAGTCCCTTGCCTCCTCATAGCATCGTATAGCACTATCGCCCGAAAAGAATGAAAGATGCCAGCAACCGAGTTGATGAAGTCTATTTTCAGCGTTTAGTCATCGCCTGAGACCTCATTTAGGATCTGTGGTAAGGTGATGACCGTTGATTTCCCCATGCCAGGGACAAAATTAAACACACAAGCGGGCACATTAGTCAAGCAGCCTAAGACATGCTGGCTCACATCTTCCCCATCTTACACATAATAAATACAAATGCATTAGCGCAGTCGATAGGAGACTCGTTTTCAAATCCAGCTGCGACTAGCTGCAGCCCACGGCCGGTGTTAAAAACCAGGCGTTTTCCGGGGTTCACCCAGCCTCTAGGAAATGGGTACCTGAGTTAACACTTTGGTGTAAAGGGAGGAACGTCGGTGTAGCTTCTGAGTTACGTGCGAACGGCGACACAGGCGAATAGTTTCTTTTCAGCTGTCCGTACTGGTGGCAGAGCACTTATGGTTTATAACCGTATGCAATGAAGCTGGTTCAAATCTCCTGGCTTTACCTTTACAATTGGGTGACCAGGTATTGCAAGTGAACGAACGAACGCACGAACGAACTTTTTTTTCAGAGGGTCAAAAATTGGGTACGCAGGCCGTCTTACATTCGGCCCTTGCAGTCAACCATCTTTCGAACAGCAGTTGTATTTTACTAATAAAGCATGTTATGATCATATGCTGATATGCATATTATGAATATTATAAAAGAACACAAAAGCATGAGTTGTAAAGTGCATGCAAAAAACAGCGCGTGCATACATACACCAACATACACACGCTCACCTACTCACTTACACACAAATACAGGCATGCATACATTACATACACACATACATACAAACATGCATACAGGCATATACACATACACACAGGCATACATACATACATACATGCATACAAATATACACACATACATACATACATACATACATACATACATACATACATACATACATACATACATACATACATACATACATACATACATACATACATACAGACATACAGACACACAGACATACAGATATACAGACATACAGACATACAGACATACAGACACACAGACACACAGACACACAGACACACAGACACACAGACATACAGACACCCACACGCACACGCATACACGCATACACGCATACACTCATACACTCATACACTCATACACTCATACACACACGCACACAGACAGACAGACAGACAGACAGACAGACAGACAGACAGACAGACAGACAGACAGACAGACAGACAGACAGACAGACAGACAGACAGACATACAGACAGACAGACATACAGACAGACAGACAGACAGACAGACATACAGACAGACAGACAGACATACAGACAGACAGACATACAGACATACATACATACATACATACATACATACATACATACATACATACATACATACATACATACATACATACATACATACATACATACATACATACATACATACATACATACATACATACATACATACATACATACATACATACATACATACATACATACATACATACATACATACATACATACATACATACATACATACATACACACATACATACTTACATACAGTCATAAATACAGTCATGCATGAAGACAAACACACATGCACACACGGACACTCCCAGAGAGACACAGCCACTTAGACAAAAATATAGACACACACACAGACACTTACATATAAACACACACAGGGAAACACACAGCTCACATATTTACATTTGTGCTCACACACTGACACACATACACAAACAAACATGCAGACACATACATAAAGCCACATAGACACACACGCAGTCAAACACACACTAACACACAGATACAGACAAACACATACTGACACCCACACAAAAAAACACGCAGAAATGCATACACATACAAACACATAGAAATACACATGCAGACACATATATTCAGCAAGCACAGACACACACACAGAACAATTCACACTGAAACATACACGTGTACATACGCGCCAGCACACACACATTCGCACACATACACAAGGACACGGACGCATACATTCGCAGACACATACGCAGATTCACAAGCAGACAAACAACATACTAAAAGTGATAGATGAACAGCTTTATGTTGGCCGGGAAAGCACGAGAACACCAGAAGACAACACTGGTCTTTCCTTTAAAGTCGGAGTTTATTTGCCTGAGAAGCAGAGAAACAAAAGTCTGCATACAAATAAACCACATCTGTACAAATGATGTGCACGCGAAACTCTAGTTCTGGAAAGAAGACTAAAGTCAAGAAGTGGACGAACAACCACAACCTTCCGCCCGGAGTTTACAAGGGGTGAACGCGAAAATGAAGAGAGTATTTGCCTGAAATCCCACGAGCTTATAGTGTAATCATTTGTCTAGATGCGAGTTTATCTCGCTAGTCACATAGAGCAGCGACAGAGGGGGGAAATCCTGCATCTTCTTGTATGTAAAGTAAGTTGAGTAACGAACCTTTCCCCACTCCTTCAACCGTAGTGGGTATATAATGCTGGACCCATATTTTACAGACCAGTCGGTACTATGTGGGTGATGTGGTCAACATCACACCGGCAGCCTTTACTTTCCAGGATTTTACCTAGTACTTAGTCAAGGCTGGGTCAACGTGAGAGCCAAAACCATTAAAACAAAAAGTTTGGCTCCGTTCGCATACTAACCCACTATCTTCAAGTCCTAATGCGGGCGTCTAGCTACACAAGGGCAGCACCCGTACACCATCCTCTATCACAAAGAAACGCCGTCGTCTGGAAGGACATAACGGTGCCAGAGAAATATATTTGAAAGCGATGATATGCTCAATGTTACAGAGTTCTTCCGAATGAACCAAGAATTCACACTTTTCTACAGTAACTATTGCTTCTCTTGGCACATCCCTAGCCATAGCCAAGGCGTTACTTTGATCACAGCAAAACATACGCAGCTCTGCAAAATATAGTTACATATTAATATTATTATCATTATCATAACAAGCTGCAGTGCAGATTTCAGATCTTCAGGTGTGAATTAAACTCCACATCACACCTGTTAGATAACCAGATTCATGCAGGTAAACAAGTTATCATTTTGATTTCTGGGAGTATTTCTTTTCATGTTTCTCCCAGTACATGTTTTTTTTTTTTTTACTTATGAATAAATAAAATGCAACAATTTATCCGGTGGTCAATAATTTGTTGACTTCACCATGGAAGAGCCTGCTCAAAAAAAAAAAAAAAGTAAGAAGAATGACCATCAGACAACTACTCTCTTACCTGTCCTTCCTCTAGCTTGTGGTCGACCAGAATGTTGTTTTCCCTGATCCAGGTGAACGTTCCTACAGTCAGAAAGTCATTCTCTTTGATTCCCAGCCTCCGCCACGCCACCTGCCGATGAACCCAAGCGGTGAATGTAGAGAATGAATCAACAACAACATTTGTGGCAGCCCAAAGTCATGAATACTTCAACTGCTGCGGCTACTACTATGTTTTTAGTAATACACAAAACAGATCTTCGAATTTGTTAATAGGTGTTTCGTCCTTTTTAGGACGAATTTTTTGTTATTTGAAGCCCCACCCCGGCTTTGCCAGGGGCCGAAATATAGGCAGGCCATAAATATGGCCAATAGTCTGAACGCGGTTTCTGGGACCTCTCCACGGTGATCCTCATCCACATGGTGATACTTTGTGTCATCGGGTGTTTATCGCTTGTGTGATGTCCTGGTGGGGTAGAAAGTCAGTCAGTCAGTCGGCTACTACTATTACTAGTAATAGGAATGGTAATAATAATAATAACAATCATAATAACAATAATAATAGTGGCTGCCAATAATATCAGTCTAAATTTTTGTTTTCTCTAAATACTGGTATCTCTGACAGCGTGACACCTAACACCACATCCATACTGGTATTTTCTGACAGTGTCACATCAAACACCACATCCATACTGGTATCCCTGACAGCGTCACATCAAACATCACATCCATACTGGTATCTCTGATACTTTCAGATTATATATCTGTGTTTCAATTGTATCTGGCTATTGCAACTCAACTATTAATAAAAAAAGTCTCTGAAAGCGTCACACCGATCCATTTGGTGACAGCGTCAAAACATTTCATATTGTATCTCTGACAGCGTACACCTAAAACATCCATAAAGGTAGAGACAGCGTCATTAACACCACATCCATACGACAGCTACATAAAACCATGTACTATCCAACAAAAACCACACCCATCGGGCATCTCTCGTCACACCGAACACCACATCGGTATGGAGTAGGTATAACACCGTCAAACAAGTATCTCTGACAGCGTCACATCAAACACCACATCCATTCTGGTATTTCTGACAGCGTCGCATGAAACACCACATCCATAATATGGTATCTCTGACAGCGTCACATCAAACACCACATCCATACTGGTATGTCTCATAACGTCACATCAAAAACCACATCCATACTGGTATCTCCGAAAGCGTCACATCAAACACCACATCCATACTGGTATCTCTGACAGAGTCACATCAAACACCACATCCATACTGGCATTTCTGACAGCGTCACACCTAACACCACATCCATACTGGTAACTCTGACAGCGTGACACCTAACACTACATCCATACTGGTATCTCTGACAGCGTCACACCTAACACCACATCCATAATGGTATCTCTGACAGCGTCACACCTAACACCACATCCATACTGGTATCTCTGACAGCGTCACACCTAACACCACATCCATACTGGTATGTCTGACAGCGTGACACCTAACACCACATCCATAAAGGTATCTCTGACAGCGTCACATCAAACACCACATCCATACTGGTATCCCTGACAGCGTCGCATGAAACACCACATCCATAATGGTATCTCTGACAGCGTCACATCAAACACCACATTTAAACTGGTATGTCTCAAAACGTCACATCCATATACTGGTATCTCTGACAGCGTCACATCAAACACCACATCCATACTGGTATCTCTGACAGCGTCACATCAAACACCACATCCATACTGGCATCTCTGACAGCGTCACACCTAACACCACATCCATACTGGTATCTCTGACAGCGTGACACCTAACACCACATCCATACTGGTATCTCTGACAGCGTCACACCTAACACCACATCCATACTGGTATCTCTGACAGCGTCACACCTAACACTACATCCATACTGGTATGTCTGACAGCGTGACACCTAACACCACATCCATAAAGGTATCTCTGACAGTGTCACATCAAACACCACATCCATACTGGTATCCCTGACAGCGTCGCATGAAACACCACATCCATAATGGTATCTCTGACAGCGTCACATCAAACACCACATCCATACTGGTATGTCTCAAAACGTCACATCAAACACCACATCCATACTGGTATCTCTGAAAGCGTCACATCAAACACCACATCCATAATGGTATCTCTGACAGCGTCACATCAAACACCACATCCAAACTGGTATGTCTCAAAACGTCACATCAAACACCACATCCATACTGGTATCTCTGAAAGCGTCACATCAAACACCACATCCATACTGGTATCTCTGACAGCGTGACACCCAACACCACATCCATACTGGTATCTCTGACAGCGTGACACCTAACACCACATCCATACTGGTATCTCTGACAGCGTCACACCTAACACCACATCCATACTGGTATCTCTGACATCGTGACACCTAACACCACATCCATACTGGTATCTCTGACAGCGTCACACCTAAACACCACACCCATACTGGTATTTCTGACAGCGTGACACCTAACACCACATCCATACTGGTATTTTCTGACAGTGTCACATCAAACACCACATCCATACTGGTATCCCTGACAGCGTCACATCAAACATCACATCCATACTGGTATCTCTGACAGCGTCACATCAAACACCACATCCATACTGGTATCTCTGACAGCGTCACATCAAACACCACATCCATACTGGTATATCTCACAAAGTCAAATCAAACACCACATCCATACTGGTGTCTCCGAAAGCGTCACATCAAACACCACATTCATACTGGTATGTCTCACAACGACACACCTAACACCACATCCATACTGGTATCTCTGACAGCGTCACATCAAACACCACATCCATACTGGCATCTCTGACAGCGTCCTACCTAACACCACATCCATACTGGTATCTCTGACAGCGTCCCACCTAACACCACATCCATACTGGTATCTCTGACAGCGTCACATCAAACACCACATCCATACTGGCATCTCTGACAGCGTCACACCTAACACCACATCCATACAGGTATCCATGTGTACGTTTACTTCCTTTGTTTAACCTATGGTATATTTTGCGTTGATTTGATTCACGCAACTTTTAACATTCTCTGAAGACCTCACATCAAAGCGACCTTAATACTCTCACTATTCGGCGTTCATAATTCAAAGCTAGACATTTGTCTTGAAAAAGAAATATATGACACCGAGACTGGTTTTCTGACTACAGGAGGCCATGTATTAAAGCTACAGTGGTTTGAATCCACAATTACGCCACACACATACACGCACATCAACATCATCAATATTTACTGAATATATGTGGTGTTTGATGTGACGCTGTCAGAGATACCAGTATGGATGTGATGTTTGATGTGACGCTGTCAGGGATACCAGTGGTTTGAACCCACAATTACGCCACACACATACACGCACATCAACATCATCAATATTTACTGAAGCGTCAGAGCCCCAACCACATTGCTAGAGAACTGTACAGACAGCACCAAGATTTGCTTGAAAGATATGTAGCTCTGTGTGAAAAACTTAGGCCAGAACCATGGACAAGCAAGCCAGAGAAAGCAAATGTAGTCCTAAAGGTACCAGGAATCACTTCAAAAGATGCCCAGACTGAGACACAACAGAGAACCATGGCTCTTGCTATGCTTGATGAGAAGTATCCAAACACCACTCGGACTCAGGTTTTCACCGACGGCTCTGCTATAGATGCAGTCAGAAAGGGGGGTTGTGAAATATACATTAAACCCCCTAGCAGTAGAGCAGATATTCTCTCTCCCAGCAGGTGACATCTGCACTAACTTCAGAGCTGAGGCAACTGCCCTCGTTTCTGCAGTCCAACATCTCATCACTAAAGGACACAGAGGGCACACAATTGTTATACTTAGTGACTCATTGTCTGTTCTCCAAGCACTATCAAGCAAAAAACAAGCAAACTAATTGCAGATCTAAGGACCAACATTGGCTTACTCTCCAAGGAAGCAGAACTGGTCTTGCAGTGGATACCAGCCCACTGTGGTATTCAAGAAAATGAGAGAGCAGATGAGTTGGCAAAAGCTGGGAGTAATCTTCCACAACCTCATCCACCACACAGCTACAAGGAAACCAAAACAGCACTAAAGCAGTCTTTCAAGCGGGAGTGGAGAAAGCAGAATAGAGATTACAGACCAGAGAGTGACAGCATAAACAAACAACAGGAAAGAACAAACATCAATTTTTAGACTTCGGACTGGACACTGTGGTCTTCGAGCACACCTGTACAGGATAGGCATAAAAGAATCTGCTGCCTGTGATTGTGGACCAGAAAGACAGACCCCTGAGCACATACTGCAATACTGCCCTTACCTCTCCCAGCAAAGACTGTGGATCTGGCCCAGGGGATCCACATTGCGAGAGAATCCTATTTGTGACCCAGACGGGACTCAATGTTTAGCATGACTGATGTCGAACGCAGAAGAAGAAGAGGAAGAACATCAACACACACACACACACGCGCCCGCACACACACACACACCCTCATGATTTGAGGGAATAAATACACATATATTCAAAGCAGCTGTATAACAGAACCAATCTTTCAATATTACAATCTCATTAGTGATACAGGCATGATCCATTATTTGTTCCTGTGACTTGGACATTAATTTTGATGATGGTAGGGTGGCATCCCCACAGTCGTGATCGCGTGCTGAATGTGAAAGAGCAAAGATAAAATTGTGTATTCAGCGGCGTCAGCTGAATGCATGATCGCTCCGAGTCAGTCACGGGGGACATGGATGGCTGGGTTGTCGTCGCCCCTGGGACGGGCAGCTAATTTTGTGGTTATGAATAAACAACAGATTTGACGGATGTATTAATCACTGACGTCAGAGCATGAAATAATTTAGTTCTTGGCCATAATTTGAGACATGGTAACGCTAGCCTGTGGATCCGAAGATCAATCCAAACGAAGCTGGACACGTTTCAAAATTGACCTTAGCCTTAAATGGATACGAGGTGAAGCCTTGTGAAGTCACGTGGCTGGTGTGAGGACGACCAAATCACCCACCAAGTGCAGACTAGTGTATAAATATAGGTCCAACAATATATGCTCAAGACGTCTGAAGGCGTTGAAGTCTACTTTACAGAAGAGATTTATCCACCAGGACACAACTGTGAGACACTCGTGTCCTTGTGGTGTCTCCACATGATTGTTCTAGCCGTGGGTCTGTATGTTACTGACAATAACCTAAAATCTGCCTGACAAACGACGACCTCCACATGATTGTTCTAGCCGTGGGTCTGTATGTTACTGACAATAACCTAAAATCTGCCTGGCTAACGATGACAAAGCAAGTCTGTTTACAGCCTCTCTGAATTTACCAATGATCAACTGGTTATACATTGAAGGCCGCATGCAAGACGGGCCTCTGTGGCTATTTGTGACTCTGTTGGGAAAAAAAAGTTTGTTCATTCGTCCGTTCGTTAACATACGTCTACGCAAGTGTCATCATGACAAAACCGTGATTTTGTTTACAGACCTAGCCTAAAATAGATAACATGAAACTTTTTAAAGACGTAAATGCGATGGTGGGATACTAATAACATCTTTTACAGATTTATAACGTACCCCTGACGTCACGACAACGTCACTGGAGACATTCCCAATAAATTCTAGGGTGTTCAGGTTGTAGTTTCTCGCGATTTCTCTACAGCCAAGTTTAGGGTTAGGGTTAGGGTTAGGATTAGAAGACACTAGATAAACACTCAAAAAAAAAAAAAAAAAAAACACACACACCAAACAACAGCACACTTGCACCCCTTGAAATAATGGACTGTCAGGTCAGCTGTGGATTTCCCGCAGGGATTTCGTGTTTGGGGTACGTTATAAATTAAGAACCGAAAAATCTATCATATAGGGCTAGCAGCATATAACTAGAAGTTCTGGAGCATGTTTTTGGTGCCGTTCTCCTTCCTCAAGTAGACAGTGAAAGTGTCTACGCTGATTGCCAGATTGGGTTACTATGCCGTGGGCAATTTTTACAAGTTTCAGAACATCTGGTGCCATGCATAGGCGCCGGTACATCGAGGCTCGCCCCCGCCTAATCTTTTACACACACAAAATGTGTTAGCAGGGGCTACCCCTGCCCCCTCCAAAAAAATCCCAAAGAAGCAGAGTTCCCTTGCCCCTAGACAACTTGCGAGGATCTACACGGTGCCACAGTCAATTCATGAATGTTCTCTTTTTTAAAATATGTTTATACACTCCAGGTTGACATGGCAACCGCCGCGATGTTCCAGTGGAAAACGATGAAAACATGCAAAATCAGCATCGCAGTGAAGGTCAATAGAGGATTAAAGCTTTAGAACGTAACTGCTATAGTCGCATTTTACGAATTAATTATTCAGAACACAAAACTAACAAATATGTCAGAGACAAAATATACCAATTTGCAGGACATCAGACTCTTCTCTTGGCAGTGGTGAAACATCGCAAGCTAGTTTGGTTTGGGCACGCGGTGACACATGATTCGTTCGCAAAGACGGCTTCAAGAAACATTGGAGGGCAGTGGTTGGGGGGGGGGGGGGGGGGAGGGTGTAGTCAAAGAAGAGAAAAGCAAAAAAGAACCTCGAACGACATCAAGAAATGGGCAGGATTAAGTTATACTTATTCAGAGCCAGAGACAGAGACAGCGACAGAGAAAGATGGCGGGTTTTGTGTACTATTGCTACCATCCATACACCTCCACGACCCTAAAGGTCAAGGGTTATGTTATGTATACATTTCATATTATTTGAATATTTTGTATTTATTTTTTATTCAGCACACAATAATAATAATAATAATAATAATAATAATAATAATAATAATAATAATAATAATAAAAATACCAATACTACAAATCTAATTATTATTTTCTTTATTTGCGCTCTTAAACAAGAGTTAAACCCACTTAGCTCCGTATCTAGAAAGTTAAAACAGGGCTGAGTCACCCCAGAGAAGTTCTGGAGGCGGCTTGTCTGGTGGCGGCTTATCTGGTAGCGGCTTGTCTGGTGGTGGCGTGTCTGGTGGGATGGTTTGGGTTCCAGGCGTCGGCCCATTGGGACTCCTACCAGCTGGGTTCAGATTGCAGTTAAACACAGTAAGTTCTCCTTTTCTCCCTGACAGAGCTGAAATTTTTCTTTTGAAATTACATTAGCTCACAGATCGACCCAGCCGGTGTGATGTTGATCCCATTACCCACCAGTGTCGATCGGTTTATAAAACATAGATCTAGCCCTATATGCCCAAAGGCAGGATAAGGGCCTCTAACCGTTTGTTATTATTACTTCATTTTTTTCATATCATTTCCCATTTCTGCAGATGCACCCATTCAAACTAGACAATATATCGTGTCTTTGGTCCTGCATATCACTAAACAGCCTTTACAGATTTAACTTATACGAATGAACCTTCCTATGAAACGGGGTAACTAGCTTGAATCTTTTTTAGTCGTCTATTACAGCACGTTTTGAAGGCTACACATTTTCCCTTATTTGTTGCCCTAAAAACAAACGAATTCAAAACTCCAAGTAAATTGGCCACTCGTTATTTCTCAAGCACAGCCAACGACCCCCCCCCCCCCCACCCACCTTCCTCGCCGCCCCTACACACCAATAGACATCACGCCGCTGCTTCTGGAAGAAAGTCATCATTCACAACTATCTTCTACATCTAATATACCCTCACCGTTCCCAACTTCATTTCCGTAGCAAGAATTGAAAATGTCCAAAGCTGAATTTCTCATCCTGCAGTGGCAAATGGAATCCTATAGCAAGCATGGCCTCAGGTGAAGTCATCTCCATTATTTTATATGTAATATCCCAAAGTTTTATGACATTGCCTGTCTAGTTATTTCTTCGTCGTGTTTTCTGTTCATCAGATTAGGTCGGAGTTAGAAATTGTCATCAACATCCTCAGACGCGCCAAAGTTGTTAGTCGTTGTTGTCTCTAAACACATGTCTGCGTCGCCTAGCTAGCTACACAGATACGCACACTTTGTCAGTCGTTGTTGTCTCTAAACACATGTCTACGTCACCAGCTAGCTACACAGATACGCACACTTTGTCAGTCGTAAACACATGTCTACGTCACCAGCTAGCGATACGCACACTTTGTCAGTCGTTGTTGTCTCTAAACACATGTCTACGTCACAGCTACACAGATACGCCAGTCGTTGTTGTCTCTAAACACCTGTCTGCGTCACTAAACACACGCACCACTTTGTCTAAACACATGTCGCCTAGCTAGCTACACAGATACGCACACTTTGTCAGTCGTTGTTGTCTCTAAACACATGTCTACGTCACCTAGCTAGCTACACAGATACGCACACTTTGTCAGTCGTTGTTGTCTCTAAACACATGTCTACGTCACCTAGCTAGCTACATAGATACGCACACTTTGTCAGTCGTTGTTGTCTCTAAACACATGTCTGCGTCACTTAGCTAGCCACACAGATACGCACACTTTGTCAGTCGTTGTTGTCTCTAAACACATGTCTACGTCACCTAGCTAGCTACACAGATACGCACACTTTGTCAGTCGTTGTTGTCTCTAAACACATGTCTGCGTCACTTAGCTAGCTACACAGATACGCACACTTTGCCAGTCGTTGTTGTCTCTAAACACATGTCTACGTCGCCTACCTAGCTATACAGATACGCACACTTAGACACATTAGGATGTCTGTGTATATCTGCACTATAAATCACAAACCCTTTCTTTATTTTCTGTGTTTTTTTATAAATGAAGTGTCAACTCCTCACAAACTGTGACCAGTATACTGGTTAAATTTTTATTTGCCATTATGACCACAATGTTTGTTTTAACAGTCAAATTGCCATCCTAAGTTACTGAGTATTAAAAAATACACAAATTTTGGGTCGGCCTTTGTTTCTATGCTTTTGTGTGTCCCAATGCAAAAACATTCCGGTTGTATTGTTTTCAGGTTTTCTCAACGTGTGTCATATTCAACGCCAGCGTCTTTTCTTCACCTCTTAGTACACTGGAACTTGTTTAGTTCTCTCCCAAAAGCTCGACATTCGTGACTCTATCATAATATTTAACTCAATCTAATCTGCGCTGGCAAAAACAGTTAATTAATGAAAATAGTTTATTAGTAATAGCGTTAGTAGTTCTTCATGTTTCCGCTTCATACAGCAGTACTGGTTTGACATTAGAATTAACAACTTTAATTTTAAAACTAATTTTAATTTTGTTTTTAATCTGCCCACATTTTCTAGTCCTTTGAAAGCTCTTCTTGTCTTTTGTATTTTTATTTTAACATCCCTGCCAGATCCTCCATCTTTACCTACATTAGGACCCAAGTAGATTTGCGACTCCATGTCTTGGAGTGGGGTGCCATTTAGAGAAACATTTTCAGACCTGGCTTGTGGTCTCGCATCAAGTATATTTAACTTATCTTGCATCTGATTCCGTGAATGGGATAGAAGAGAAATATCATCAGCGAAGTTCAGATAATAAGCTGTTTTTGGGGTCTAATGAATTCCATTCTTGTGTTTTTAGCAGTTGCTATCTTAATAAATCAGTCTATTGGAAGAAGAAAGCTTTCGATTCCAGTGACCTTGTTTGGTATCTGTTTTAACGCTGGCTTGACCTGGGAGTCAAGCTCATTTTGGACAAACACAATGCCGGATCCGTCAGGATCTGAATCCACGACTTTCAGATCCGCAGGCGAGAGTGTCGCCTATAACTGCTGCACCACAGCGGCTGCCCACCTTTCCTGTGACATCTATAATACATGAGTCACAGACAAGCAAAGAAGATGGTGGTTGGAGAATGGTATAACTTTTACTTTCCTCTAAGTGTGACTTCATATGTGAGATTGCATGAGGGGTTAGCAAGATCAACAACATAAATACTGAGTTATCGTCTGGGCATTCTGATCGTGCAATAGTCACGTCGTCTAATGATATATTGCTAGATGTATGGCACCACACGACTGAGCCATGCGTTGTGATTTCGTGAGCTCACTCTCTGACAAATCACTATTCAACGTACCACCCCTACCACTCCCTATCAATTACGTGGCCTGAATCTTGAAGATGACACGAAGACTTCGAATTTTCAAATTTCAAAAATAATATTCGATACTAAACAGGGATTCCCCCATCTGGGCTTCATAGTCACATTGTTGGGGTGGGGAGAGGGAAGGGAGAATTGACCAACTGCCTCACTGACTAGAATGTCATCAGTCGACGTTTTAGGGGCTCCATGGTCACATTGTTGGGGTGGGGAGAGGGGAGGGAGAATTGACCAACTGCCTCACTGACTAGAATGTCATCAGTTGACGTTTTAGGGGCTCCATGGTCACATTGTTGGGGTGGGGAGAGGGAAGGGAGAATTGACCAACTGCCTCACTGACTAGAATGTCATCAGTCGACGTTTTAGGGGCTCCATGGTCACATTGTTGGGGTGGGGAGAGGGAAGGGAGAGTTGACCAACTGCCTCACTGACTAGAATGTCATCAGTCGACGTTTTAGGGGCTCCATGGTCACATTGTTGGGGTGGGGAGAGGGGAGGGAGAGTTGACCAACTGCCTCACTGACTAGAATGTCATCAGTCGACGTTTTAGGGGCTCCATGGTCACATTGTTGGGGTTCCATTTGGGAGGTAGAGTTGACCAACTACCTCACTGACTAGAATGTCATCAGTCGACGTTCTAGGGCACTCCATGGTCACATTGTATCTGGGGAAGGGAAGGGAGAATTGTACCAACTGCTTACTGACTAGAATGTCATCAGTCGACGTTTTAGGGGCTCCATGGTCACATTGTTGGGGTGGGGAAGCTATAAGAGTTGACCAACTGCTTCACTGACTAGAATGTCATCAGTCGACGTTTTAGGGGATTCATTTGAAGTTGTAGTGCATCTAGCTGAGATGCAAGAAATCGACAGTCTGCGTACGAATAGGCTGTATCTGTAAAACGGATGTACACGCTAAACTCAAGTTTCATAAAAAGACTAAAGTCCAGAAGGGGACAAGCCATAAGAACATTTTATCGGGGATTACAATCGGTATAC